TCGGGCCACCGGGGGCCCCGGCCAGGCCCTGCCGCTCCCACCCTAGTGGATGGACCCCGGCCTCACTCTCCCGCGCTGAGCCCCCTTTCCGCCGGGAAGTTCGTCCAGGAGTCTAACCTTGGTGCCCTCCAGCTGCGCCACAGAGGCGGTGTCGAGCAGGAGGCGGCCCTGAAATCGGGAAGCTGGGCGCTCCCGCCCCTCAACCAGCTGCAGAAAAAGCTTACACCTGCTCCTCCGGGCGACCTCATGCTGAAGGACTGAACCCCGTATCCTAGCCGCGTCACCACCCCCACCCTCTGGCCTGGGCTGCTCTGAGGGCGAGTCTGGGATCTCCAGCTCGCCTGACCTCCCACCCCTCCCCTAGGGCAGCGCAGGGCTCATTTTGCTCTGTGCCTCCAGGACTTGGTTCTGGTCGACCCATACCTACTTGATGGCCACCTCTGGCTGCACAAGGCTGCTCAGGGCAGGAGAGGCAAGAACCTGGACCACAGCTGCACTGATCAAATCCTTTAAGGTAACAGGCTCAGGGCCAGGAGGAAGTAAGACTGGAGGGGTGAGGGCCAGAGGCCCAGAACCCACTGTGTCCCCCAGCCATGTGGCTGCTGAGGCCTCCCTGCTCCGTCTCTGCTGAGGAGATGCAGCCAGGCCTGCGGAATGCTGCTCTGGCATGGACACCAGTGGGGGCAGGGGGCTGGCTGTGCTGGCAGAAGGCTGTAAAGGAAGGCCGCCAGGCTGAGCAGGCTGCAGGGTGGGGACCACAGGGCCCTGGGCCTGGCAGGGTCCAGGTGGTGGCTGGGCTGACAATGTGGAGTGGGGGCCTCTGTGGGCCTCTTATGTGGCCTGTGTCATCGAGATGCCTTTCTGTGCCCCAGCTCCAAGATGACGGCTGCCCCATCTTTGGTCACTCTCACATTGCCCCCATCCTGGCAGAACCACACAATATCCCCCACCCCCTCCTCCCACATGTGCACTCATGCTTACACACCCACTCATGCCCAGCTGTAGCAGTGACCCCTGGGTATGCTACCATACTCATGAGTGGGCAGGGACTCTGGGGCTTGTTCAGTATGACTGGGTTCTGGGTGCCAGGGGAGGAAATGGAGCAGAGGCCAAAATCCCAGGCAGGAGCCATCATGTAGTCTGATGGTCTGTCCTGGGAGATTGCAAGCCCATCCCCACCCCCACCCCAGGCCAGGGTGGGGAGGTCCTTAAGACAGGGCCATCCCAGGACCAGAGAGAAAACATCTCACAGGCAAAGATGGGAGTGACTGATGAGCGCCAAGAGAAAGGGGAGGAATACACATAGTTGGATGGAGAGTAGGGAGAGACCCTGGTGGAAAAAAAAGATGAAAAGAGAGAAAGGGGCATAGGTAGGGACATGCTCCCAGAGGCAGCCACTGCAGACACCTCACACTTTTGAGGCCATGGTGGGGGCAGAGACAGCTGACTCAGCTCCCAGGAGGCCTCAGGTTGAGGCCAGGCCAGAGCAGCCTGCATGCCTGACCAGCCCATCACCTCAGGGCTGCTTTTCACTTCTTCCTCCACCCCAGTGCACTTCTTCATCTCAACATGGGCCTGGGAGGTGGTAAGGGAGGGCTTGTGTACCCATTGGTTGGATAAGGATAGTGAAGCCCAGAGCAAGGCAGATCACATAGCCAGGCACTGGCGTCAGGAGCCAAGGAAAGGGGAGGCTGAAGCAGCCTCCCCTGAAGGCTGGGAAGAGCCTGGCAGAGAAGGCTGCATGGGACACATTTCCCAGCTGAGGTTTGGCAGGGGGTGTGGCCAATGTGACTAAGGTAGGGCTGCTGGCCCCTTCAGGATTGGCGTTGGCTGAGGCAGTCAGAAGCCTAAGGAGGGGCTGGAGGTTGGATGAGAAGGTGGGGAATGGGGGCTCACGATTCCTGAAGACCCCAGCTGTTCCCTCTTGCTTCTCTGGCCTACTACTCAGGGAGCCCCAGGGGAGAACCAGCTCTGGGAGGGGCTATTGGCATGTGGGTCACAGGAGACCTGGTAGGAAGGCACTTTTTGAAGAGCTCAATTTGGTGGGCTCAAATGGGGCTGCTCAGAGCTGAGGCCTCAAAGCTGAGTCACTGAACTAGAGCAAAAGCGGATAAGGACGGGTACTCGAGGCAGAGAGACTAGCACCTGCGTGGGCTGGCAACTAGAGGCAATTTGATGTAGCAGAATCCAGATTCTGGTTGGGTGGGCGTGGCCAGAAGGAGACAGGCAGAATTATTCTCTTGGCCTTGGAGAAGGCCAGGCCATGGGAGCTGCCCCTTATGTTTGGTCAAGGCAGGCTTTCTGGAGGAGGTACGGTGTGACTGGTTATTGGAGAGTGGGACCCTAGGTCAGAACCACATGCCCCAAGGGCCAGCCAGGTGTTTATGGAGACAGGGCCAGGGCTGGATGATCCTCATACACTTGGGGACAGGTGCTGGCAAGGTCAGCAAAGTCATGCCCCTGCCTCTAGAGGCCAGCTGATGAGTTTTCTCACAACTTCCCTAAGCATCTAGCCCCAGACTTCTCCCCCGTGTCAGAGAGGAGGAACAGATTCTAACAGCAGTGGGGCAGCACATGTGTGCACATGTGCAGTGTAGGGCTCAGCCTCCCTGGAGGAGCATGGAGCCGCGTGGCTGCCATGGGGGAAGGAGAGCAGAGTGGGCAGAGTGGGCAGTGTCAGAAACAGAAGGGGACATCGCAGCATGTAGTTGGTGGGGTGACAGGGAAGTTTAACCGACCCACTAGGTGCTGACCTAGGGCCCTGCGGGGTGGGGAGTACAGATCCCTGGGTTTGGGGGCTGGAGGGGGTGGTGTTCCTGTTCCCCCTCCACTGAGCTCGGCACTAATAAGCTACAGCTGCAGGCGGTGGGGGCCTAATTCAAACCAGCAGGTTGCCCGGTTCTCTCCCACAGCAGAAACGTCATGGCCTTGGCATTCCAGGCCTCACTAGAAGCTTCCAGGATTCTCTCCCACCCTGTCAGTTCAAGGGGCCTGGGCCTCTCATTAGAGATGGAGCCTGGCCCTCTATGAAACCTGGGGGCAGCTCCTCTCCTCCTGGAGGCAAGCCCAGGGGCTGGTGTCCCTGAACCACTCTGATGTACGCTTGGTTCTAACCATTTAATCCTCACCACTCCTAAAATGAGGAGTCCTTAATATCCCACTTTTCCAGATGAGGAGCTGAATTATAAAGGTCAAGCAATCATCTACTTACCTGACTAGAAGTGTCAGAGCAGAACTTGACCCCAGGCAGTCTGGCTCAGACTCCAAACCCTTTAGGACTGTGATAGAATAGTTGCTCTGAGAGGTCCTTTATTTCTTCAAAATAAAAGCAAGTTGGGCCAGAGGCATTGAGGCCAGTGGGATCCTTCTCAGTCTCTCTCTGGGAATCTGGCCTGGTAGTAGAGGTTTTAGTGGCAGGAGGGCCTGAGTGACCTGAGACTGGGAAGTGCCAGCCAGAGCGCTGTCCCCTGTGGGTTTGCCTGTGGGAGGCTGACTCATCTCCAGGCCGGTCCAGGAAGGGATGAGCACCACCACCTGGTTCTCATGTCCACTTGCACCTTCTTTCCGGGCTGATGAGCTGAGAGACGGGCAATCTAAGGACCGTTAGTCTCATATTGCAGATGGGGGTCAGGCCTCCAGACGCAGAATGCAGGTGTCTGTCCTGAGACTTCAGGTCACTCTTTTTACCCCGATGTCCTCAGGCCTCTAGGATGCTTAAGATGCAAACTTCCTCAGGCTAGTAGCCTGGGTCCTGAGGACCGTGAAACTTGGCTCAGTCTGGAGCTGGACTTCGATGGCTATAGATAGTGAATGGTGGATTTGGAGACTCCAAGAGGCAAAAGTGCTTGGCCCCAAGCTTGGCACAGCCCCACCCAAGGCCTTCTGATTCACAAGAGGAGGCAGGGGCAAGGGAACATTGCCTCTACCTTGTACTGAAATCTTTAAATAGTCCATTAGAGCCTCCTAGTCCTTTGTGTGTTGCCAAGGTAGGCTATCCTTGCCTCCTGCTCATCAGGCACTGACTGGAGCTGCCCAGGGTCTACTGCAGGCAGATGCTGTCTTCTTTTAGGGTAATAGCTCCTTTCCCTGACCTCTCAGGGAGATGCTGCCACCTTTACAGCATCAAAGAACTTCTCCCTGCCAAGAAAATGTCCTCTTGGCACTCTGCCCAGCCCGTTCTATTACAAGTCCCTCATGGGATTCAGGCTCTCACCTCTTACTCTGGGCTGCGGCAGCCGATTCCCTAAGACCAGCCATCTGAGCCCAGGTTCTTCCAATGTGTAAGCCACATTGCACATTCCAGGTCCCTCACCAGGCCATAGTCTGTGTCACTCACTTTGCCTCCTCTCCCTTCCAAACAGTAATGCCCCGACAGTGTTCATGATTGCTTGTAAGAGGGTATTTCCCTTGAATTCTCTTGCCAGCTAATTCAGAAAAGTCAAAACCGAAGCCCTTAACACATTTCCTCCCAATACTGCCCAGCTGATCAAGATGATCACTATCAGAATGTGAATAAAGATCCTGCAGTTTTCTAAAAGACCCTAAAGGAACCACACTTGGGGATTTCCCCACAGCAAACAGACTCTGCAATTTTGTTTAAGTTTTATGGCAACACATCCAGATTTGACTATTTTCAGGAATTGCCTGACTTGGGGGTTTACTGTTAACTTTAAAAACTGAACCTCTGCAAATGTTACTGTGAGAGGTTATGTTGTATTCACTAAGAAAATACAAATTCCTTTGAGCTCTAAGGAGAAAAAAGTTAATTGTACTTGCCCTGCAAATTCTCATGTGGATGCTAAAAATATCACCGTGAATCTTTCTCCAGGAAGGGAGTGCTACATGCCTGCCTGGTGAACCACTGTTAGGGAACGTGGGGGCTGCAGGTGGCTTAGCAGGTAAGCGTGCTGTCCCTAGGCAGCAGCTCACAGATGGGGGGGCCCTCTTCCCGCCTCCACAAAGACATCTGTATGCAGGTCACCTCAGCTGGATGACTGTTAACAGAGCCTGGAGGAAGCCTGGAGTTGGCAGGGGAAGACCAAGCACCATTGATACTTCTCTGCAGAGGCAAACACCTCTGCCTGAAGTTACCTCTAGTTCCGCCTTATGCCCCAACGCTAACACCGGCCAGAAGAAAATGAGCCGCAGAGAGAGGAGGTGAAGTCTCTTCCCTGGCTGGGTCAGAAGACTCTGTTTCCTTTTCCATTTCAGAAAGACGACTGGAAATCTGGATGAATAAAGAAGGATGAAACATGCAGAGACTCAAACTTAGACTAAGCATATATTTTAATTTCTACAAGGTCCCCCTTTCAAGTTTTAGGGAAATTTAAATGAAATGTATACAAATTAGACACTACCAATATGTACAAAAGTATTTTCTACAGTTTTTGAACAATATCAGCTATATCGTTTCATTTGCAGTAAACAGGACGTTACAAAAACAGTCCAATGATGCATTTTCTATTAAGAAGCACAAAACACGATGTAATTCAACTTTATTAAAAAATAACTTAAAATACAGAATAATCCCCTTTAGAAAGAAAAGCTATTTCTGTAGTCCATTCAGTAAACACACAAGTTAAATGCTGCAGCTGAGGGCTGTTCTTTCCCATGAAGAGAACAAACGAGGCTTCTAGGGCCCACCTTTTCAGGATGAAAGTCTACCCACAGTACACAGCAAAGCTATTGCCCGTGGGAGGCAGAATTCTAAAATGCCCCTCCTATTTCATGCCCCCATCCCAGGAACCTGGGAATATGATCTCACTTCTGTGATTATGAGATGTTCTATGGCACTGTTGACCTTAATACAGGGAGACTGTCTCAGTGGGCCTGATCTAGTCTCAGCATGAACCTGAAACCAGAGAAGAAAGGCAGAGAGATCTGAAGCACAAGAAGGCCTCGACAGGCCCTTGCTGGTTTGAAGACAGAGGGAACCCATGAGGAACGTGAGCAGCCTTAAGGAGCCGAGAGAGGCCCCCGGCTGCAGCCAGCAAGGAACTGAATACTGCCAACAACCTGAATGAACTCGGAAGGAGATTCTTCCCCAGAGCCTCTATGAAGGAATGCTGCCCTGCTGACCCTGGATTTCAGCCTTGTGAGACCCTGAGCAGAGAATCCAGCCACATCGTGCCGGACTCATGAGCTACAGAACCGTGAGCTAAGAAATGGGTGTTGCTTTAAGCTGCTACATTTGGGGTAATTTGTTACAAAGCAATAGAAAACTAATACACTGCCAAAAGGTAACTTTTCTTAACGTAATTAGATTTGGCAGTTTTTGTTTGGGTTGTAAATGCAGTTTCTTTCACTGAGTATTGTTAAAGATACTCTCCTCCAGAGGCAACTTTTAAAAACCCTTCATATAAACCACATGTTGTTTTGTATTCACTATCAAGCATGTTTGTTTGACTTAGGTCCTATTTTCTAATGCATTTTCATCTATCAACTTGGCAAACAACTGGACCCCTTAACCCTGTTTATGAACCTTTTATGGGCAATGGTTTTAATACATCCAAGGTCACCCCTCCATCCATCAGGGTGGTCAGATCCCTCCAACTGAGGGCTCTTTCCCACTTCCCAAGTACCCTAGGCAAGCCCTGGGGTAGGATGGCAGAGTTCTGCATCAAACATCCAATATGAATTTCTTCTGCATACCTGGATTAAACTGGCACTGAGGTGATTAAGTACACTTGGAGAAAAAAATTCAAACTAAAGATTAAAAAAAAAACTCACCAGTTTTTACAGGTCAAATCATTTTTGCAGGAACCACGAAAGACTGTGAACATGTGTAACCTATGCAGTACGCACACCTTGCTTCCCCTGTCTTCCTGGCTGTACCATGTCACACGAGGCTTCGCCGAGTCAGTGTGGGTTACGGCAGAAACCAGGAAACATGCTGGTGCTGGGAACAACTGCTCTTGCGTCTACCTCTTAGTTGAAAGACTTAGAAGTACAGCCCTGCGAAGTGTGTCCAGGATGGTGGCAGGTAGATCCTGTGTTACTTTTGAAGTCTGCTCTTCCAGGGGCACACGCATCAGTTCTGTGCAGCAGACCTGAGTTGCCACACAACCCTGTGCCAATCCTGCCTGCTCCAGGGACCTCGGCCCACACCTGTGCTTGAGAGAAGCCCTCCAAATATTTAAAGTGAATATAGCTGAGAAGGAACGATGTTGGGTGCCAGTGAATTAAAAAAAATCATTTTTCTCTCTTACGGAATTCTGATGTACAGTATAGAAGAATAATGCTTAAAGAGGCACCAAAAGGTACCAAGCACCAAAGCATAAACTGGAATAGAATTGTCTTCTTACAAACTGAACTTCCGATAGTATTTATTAAAAAGCACATAAAACATTAGGGCCTTAGAGACAGTGCAGGTATTTATAGTTAAGGCTAATTTACTCTTCTTAACCTCACCCGCCAGCCTGAAATAACACAGAGAGTGGGCTGTATGGTGACCACTTTCCTGATAATCTGAGACAACAAAGAAGTAAGGAATGAATTAAGAACCTCAGACCACTGCCTTATCCTCCTGGCTACCATTAGTATCAATTCTGGGTGGTTTATCTGAAGAGCACACATGTATGAGATCTGTGTAACTGGTATATAAATATTTGGCCACCTTTTACAGTTCTCATCCATAGCTCTATGCCTGGCAGCACATATGCTAAAATCTGAAAAACGGGCAAAAACAATCTGTATTCTGAGAAATACATGAGATGGAGAGAAACAGTCTATATAAAATAATATTGCAAATTATACTTAAATTTCATGATTTCTTGATTCAAGAAAATGAAATTCACTTCCATAGTTGGCTACTGTAAAATGCGGCATACAAATATTTTTGGGAGACATATCTGTATTTTAAATTCTGCGCACATGTAAATGAACAAGTAACAATTAAGAAGTGTCTATTTTTCAAATTCCTCTAATATTCAAACAGAACAAGAGACTGCCATTAAGTTTCTTAAACTTATAAGTTACCAGATATTTACAAATAAGATATAATCTGTATGAAAAAAAAAAAAAAGGGGACACATTCAACTATATCTGCTGCTTTCACTGGGGCTCCGGTGATGGGAGTAACTTCGGTCACTTTCACTGTCGGAGCCATAAGATCTACAACTCCTGTAAAACAAAACAAAACATATATACAAACACCTTGTAACTGTCAACCCTTGGAAATCCTCCTGCAACTTCTTTTTTTGATGAGTGGCCTGAAAGCAGTACTAATGAGGCACAGCACAGTGGATGGATGAGGGGTACTGAGCACAGTGGACTTTTCAAAGATGTTGACAGTGACTGAGGGTGGTTAAGATTAAAAAAAAAGTTAAGATAAAGTTAAGATCAAAGTTAAGATAAAATAGAGAAACATCACTTCTTGGGGAATTACTTGAAATCCACTCAGGCAAATGAGAATTACTTTCTACGTTACCCAAATGAACATCAATACTTAATTAAACTGAGGAAGTAAGGGGAAAAGATGCATGAAGAGAGTTTCATTAAAGACAGGGAAATCAAAATGGGGGCCCAACAAGGGGTGAGGGTGGGGCGGGGCATGGACAGGAGCACTGGGATAGTGAGTCAAGAAGATCTAGTTATGGTCACCACTCAGTTATTTTGAAAAATATTCACAGAGATCCAGTCACTGTGCTAGATGTTAAGACACACACACACACACACACACACAACCAAGTAGAGTTCCCTGGGGCCCAAGGATAGTACAGAATAGGAAGCAAGAAAAATGAAGCACATGGGGGTGAGGTGGGGTGAGGTAGGGGTGAAGGTGATATATCTCAGGATTAAGCAGTTAGGGAGGGCTTCCCAGGGGCAATGAGTGGGTTGCAGTGGAGACCTACAGGGTAGTTGGAATTGGCCATTTCAAGAGGCAGGAGGAGAGATGGTGAAGTAGGCATGTGAGGTTCCAGAACTTCAGTGCAGGGAAGAAAGAAAAGCCCAAGCTGGAGCTGTTAGGTGGAGAGGCCTTCAAGCAATGCTGGGGAGCATGGACTTGCCCCTAAGGGCAGTGGGGTGTCCTTGAAGAGTTTCAAACAAGGGACCACACTGATATTCTACAAGCACAATTAAAGGTAGTTGCAAGGCATGGGGGGAGGGTAAGACTAGCGGCCACCAGGAAAGGGACATTACAAGAAGCAAACACAAAGACTTCTGCAGCACTAACCAAAATGTTCCATGACACATCTATAAATATATATAATATAAAAACCATTTTTAACCGTATAAACCTCAATCTTACTAATGAAGCAAATGATTATAACATTTTGCTATACATTATATATACATTTAAATTATCATTTTTAAATTCAAAACAGACACATTTGCTTTGGTATTTCTAACAACTAGCCCTATTTAAAGCAGTGAGCCATAGTCTGAATGGCCTTTCCTTTATTCCTTTCAAAAGAAACGTTTGTCCAAGGATATGTGAATATTAAAAATCCATTTTAAATTCAAACATTAACATCTACCACTCAGTACAAGGGCCACTTTTAGTAGCTGCCATTGCGTTAATGAAATTCAAGAAGAGAAAGAAGTATTTCTGTCCTCAGAAGATGATACCTTCTCTTCTGCCAGCTGTCTGTCACCCCATACACTAAGTGCCCACAGTAACTTACAGTGCTGAAAGGACAGAGACCCACCTGGACCGCCTATTGTAACTCCTGCCTCGGTGATAACTGTCGCTCCTCTGGCTTCTACTTCGGCTCCGACTCCTGCTGGAGTAGCTATCGTAAGTGTAGGACCTGCTTCAACAGCAACAACAAACACTATAATTTCGCATTCAGATACCCATATATTCCCATTTCTTTTTAGGATCTTAAGTTTCCTCTTAGAACATGGGCATTATATGACAGTGTAAAGACATATTTTCAAAATAAGTACTGCAAACATTTAACAATTGCCCCAAATCAGACTTACCATATTAAACAGAAAATTGTTAATTTCTTTTCTGCATTGAAAAATATCACAGAATTAACACTGAGTTAGTCTGACTGAATCTGGTGGATCTTACTAGGCAATTATACTAAATAAACAACTGCCGGGGGAGGGTATAGCCCAGTGGTAGAGCATGTGCTTAGCATGTACAAGGTTCCGGGTTCAGTCCCCAGCACCTCCATTATAAATAAGTAAGTAGATAAACCTAATTACCCCCCAAAACAATAACAACTGCATTTACAATTTGATATCAACTGTCACTTCTGACACTAGAATACAATGGGCCAACATATAAAAATTGTTTAAAAAGACAAATACATGTTTTTCAATAAAATACGTTTTTAAAAAGGGAATTAAGAGTTTTATAAAAACAAGGCCTTTTAATTCTGTCTCCGCAGGCGGTTACCCAATCCCTGTCCATACCTGGACCGACTGTGGGGATCGTACGAGCTGCTCCTGGATCTGCTCCTGCTGGATGTCCTAATATTAATCACATGAGGGACCATCATCTTGTGGATCAGGACAGGCTATATCAAAAGTCTAGACATTTCTATTTGCCCATGAAGGAGAAAACACAATGAAATCTAGCAGCTACATTTATTTCATTTTCATGTCAGAAGTATATTGGAAGTTTTAAAAAAAGCATGTTGGATTTCATAAGAAAGATTCTAGGTTTTACACAATGTTTCCTGCGGTGCACATAAAGAAAATCACTGGGGAGGAAGTGGGTGGGGAGGGGACAGTGCAGGTAGGACGCCTGTCAGTACATGAAGCTACAGCAGTGGGAAATACCTGAGAGGCAAAAGAGGGCTGGCAGAAGCCAGGAGAACAGAAACCCGGGGTCACCCAGCACTCACACTTCCTCCTGAGTCCTCTTAACAATCCGCCTCTCCCAATATCTAACCCAAGTCAGGAGATGACCGTAGATGGGAACTCAGGTTAAAGAAGATGTACTGAGAGTTCAGGTAGTAGTCAGAGCCTCTTTTAAATATTTCTACTGCTTCTCTTTCCTCATTCTGGTAAGATCTCATCCTGAGAATAGCCAGTAAAAATCCGATAGCTCTTTGAAAGAAAGAATTAGGTGAGAAAGTAGGCCTGTCTGGTACTCAGCAATGACAGGATTTTTTTCAACAACTACCCCATTCTGCCCATGCAAGGCAGGACTTGAAAAGCAGACAGATGGTGACCATATTGTAGGGCGGATTCCCAAACTCACCTATGACTTTTGTAACTGCGGTAGGAACTGCTCCGGCTTCTTGTGCGGCCTCTGCTGTACCATCCTCTGCTCCGACTTCTAGAGTAGCTTCTTGATCTACAATTAAGAGTTGAAAAAATATAATTATATTAACTTATTATGCTGTTAAAATTAATTACTGGTAGGGCAGGAAGAGGAAAACCCAACAAGAAGAAAGGTCTTCGGAAAGGTCTCTCATGAACTCCTCACAGCAGATATGACAGTGACAGCTAATGAGGGTTTAAACTGAACAGAATGAAATAAAGAAAAAAACAGAAAAGGCTGTTCATAGGAGCCCTATCTGTTAATACCAGAAGAGGAAATAACCCAAATTTCCATTAATGGCAGAATAGGTTTAAAAAAAATACTGAAATATTCTAAAGTAGGAAAATGAATAAACTATATGTATCAACAGAAGTAACTTTTGGGGACAATGTTGCATGAAAAAGGCAAACGTAGAATATCTATATACATAAAAAAGGATTTTGAAAACATGCAAAAACAACACTGTATATGGATAGAAACATTTATAGTAAAACTAAAGAAAAACAGCAAAATTATAATGGGAGTTTAGAGTAATGTTTAACTCTAGGAGAGAAGAGAGAAAGTAGCGCCACATCGAGTATGTCAAAGCTCTATTTTTTTAAACTAGATAACACTTAAAATTATTTTTTATACCTTAATCATTAAAAAAATTGTAACTATTTAATATTTAATAAAACAAACAAGACACTTAATGCAATTCCGCCCCCCTGCATTCACTTGGCCCTGCCCTCCTTCCCCTAGTTTACACCTGTCATTCAGGGATAGAGTAATACCCCCATGTATATGCTACTTATGTAATGCCTTCACAGGTTTTATTCAGTATGTATTTATGTTTTGGAAGACAGCTGCAGTTTATTTACAAGAACACACTCTGTTCTAATAAGATTCTAGTCATTTACTCAACAAACAATTATAGAGCAGACTCTGAAGTGACTGAAAGATGAGTAGCAAGCAGTCCCCGACTTCAGTGAGATCACAGGGTAGTAGCCAGGTGGGTAACCAAAACAGGGAGGCAAAGTTTAGCTATCTTAGTCTACTGTGTGTTAAGAGTACAGCCAATTCCTTAGCCTTCCTATGCCTCACTGTCTTCATTTATAAAATGAAATACCATCCACTCCAAAGGCAGGGGAGGAAGGTAAATGAGAGTAACCAGCATCTCCAATAGCTCAGAGCTGCCTTAATGTAAATGGTAGGAGACACTGAAGCATACAGGAGGCTGGAGTAGCTCAACAGGCTCCAGAATACAAACCTGTAGAGAAAAGGCCAGGATTCACCAGCTCTCTGGGCTCTGTTGGGAATCAGAGCAGGAGGAGGAAGAGGAGCCACAACTCAAGCATGGAATGGTCTGGGAGGGATGAGGAGAGCTAGAAGAGGGCTTCCAAGAGGACTGAAAGGACGGAAAACATGCCCTGGCACTGGCCATGTGAAGGACCTGAGAACCTCAGCTGAGTGAGACGAGGGGAGGGCGGGCACAGAATATAGACTGAACGCAACTGAAGAGTAAGTGGGAGGCAGTTATTGCAGATAAAAGTTGGAAGAAACCTGGGTGAGAAAGGGAAGAAAAAGATAAATAACCAGGAAGGGAAAAGAACAGTTAAAGATTCTTACCGTATTTTAAGGTCAAGTAATGAAAATCAAGCACAACATAATAAAGAGTTTAAGAGATGGTGAGGCAAAACCATGAAACATTTACAAGGAAAAGAAAATTACTGATTAACTTTATATCACCATCACCAAATTTTTTAGTTTAAAAAAAAAAGATGCTCAGCACTATGCTAATGACAATAGTCAGGTGTAACTTGAACCAAAAATAAAAAATAAATACAGTGAAAGATTATTTTTACCACTTTCTGCCCCTTGAATAAAGATCAACTAGATGCATGGCTTGGGCAGGTAACTATGTCTCTCTGGCCCTCACCTTCCACTTGTATAAACTGGAGGGCTGGATTACTGATCTCTAAATCCTATATATTCTGTAAATTAACATTCCCTTCTAAGGCATCACTTACAGGCAAGAGAGCGACCTCACACCTTTAAAGACAGAGAACGTGCACTCAGTGTGGCAACTCACTGCTATTGCCAGGGAGCTTTAATTGACAACAACAGTTTCTTTACACTGAGCCCAAATTTCTTCCCCTGAAATCTTCATTCCCCATGTCTTCAATCCACTCTGTGAGTCACACAGCACAAGCCTTCTCCTCATTCCCTTCCAGATGTTTGGAAACAGTGATCTTGTCCCTACCTCTGATGTTCTTCCAAGCTAAGCAGTTACAGACTCTCCTTGGGAGAAAAAAGGGAAAGAGAATATTACTCACCGATAGGATGATGTGGAACTTCGAGATCGACTTCTTGAGTGACTATAGGAGACAGACCTTGTTCTGTGTCTTGATTTGGTTTCAGATTTACTTCGAGATCGACTTGGACTCCGAGACTGGCTATCACCATCCCGACTAGGTGTCTGCTCATCACTCGAACTCTCCTGATTTCTTGGCCTCCGGTTTAAGCGTGCCGTCTTTCTTACTTCATCAAAGAGAGACCCAGGACGAACTTTACTTTTGCTTTTAATTTCTATTCTCAAGCCTTGTGGTTTCATTTCAGGCACAGCAGTCAATGCCTTAACTTCTGCAGCACTGGATGTGGTAGCAGTTGGTGCTGCCAGGTTCCCCACACCTTGCAGGGGCTTCCATTTATTATCCATGAGGCTGGTCTGGCTTTTCTCAGCCACCTCCCTCTTCACAGTGCTTTCTGCAGCACCGGCCAAGCTGGCAGAGCTGCTGTCCTGTTTTCCCACTTCGCCCACCGTTTTGCTTTCCGACGTGCTGCTTTCCTGTTTCCCTACCTCTGCTTCAGGATGCTCTGTTGGCATGTCCTGCTTTAGAACAATGCTTCTATCCGGGGTGTCAAGCCTTGAATTTCCTGGAGGGGAAGTCTCCTCGACCTTTGCTGGGGAACTTCTATCAGGAGTGCAGATCTCCATGTTGTCGTCTGTCTGAAGTACATCCTCTACTCCGCTTGGGACACTTTCTTCAACACGCTCAATGTTCAGGGGAGAACGGACAACATTTTCCTCAGTGTTTAAAGCTGTGGGAGAGTTGCTGAGTTTACTATCCTCCTTAGTAGGCTGATCAATGTCTGGTGAAACTGTTACCGTATTATGTTTACCTGAAAGGCTGCCGTCTACACAGGACTTCTCGGTTTGGAGAATATTTTCTTTCATGGCTTCACTGTTTTCAGAAACCTGTTTTTTCTCTTTTGCCTCCTGAGTAACTTGCTTTTCATTAATCTCCTCCTCCTCCTCTTCACCGAATTCTAGTGGAGGCTGCCAGTGAAAAGCTTGTTTTCGTTTTGGAGCCTTGTGCTTTTTGTCTTTTTTCCCTTTCAATTTCTCCTTCGCTTTCTTGGTGTGTTCCCTTTTAAGAGTCTCCTTTGAGCCGTGTTTGTGCTTGTGTGGCTTTCCTCTAGTGCTCTCTGAATTGGAACAGAACCCCTCAGAATCAGAGGCTGACGACCGCTGTCTGCTTGATTTCCAAGCACCATTACTATCAGGCAGTGAAGTATTTGCTGAAGACTTCGTTGTGGGTTTGGCTTTGATGTGAATTTCACCCAACTCAGACTCAGAATCTGAAGTGGCCTCACCCTCCTCCTTATCAGAAGACGGCCGGGCATTATTTTTACTGTTTTTAGTTATATCTCGTTCAGAATTTGACTCCGAGTCCCATTTACTCCCAGCGTAATTCTTCCTTTTGGTTTTACTGCCATTTCTGAAGTGATCAGCAAGATTTTCTTTTAGAGTTCTTTTTTTTGAGCTAGGACATTCCCGTTCAGGCTTAGATTTTTCTTCATCTCTGTTTTTCTCTTGCTTCTTATTCATTTCCATTTGGACTTGTTTCTCTTTTTCCTGGGCTGACTGTGTAACCTGAACACTTGACTCTTCACTGTCTGAAGAATAATCTAAAGATGACCTGCTTTCACTATACTTTCTCTGGTACGAAGACCTGTCTCTGACTTTGACATATTTATTACGAAGTGTCTTCTCAGAGCTGCTGCTATGCCTTTTATTTGAAGTGTTATTTTTTTTCCCATTCGATCGAAATTTTCTCTTGGCCCGTCTTCCATCATCACTGCTAACAGAAGAATATGAAGATGATCTACTACACCGTGAGCGATCACTGTATTTATTTCGTGAATGAGATCTAGATGAGGGAGACCTAGACCTTGAATGTGAACTAGCTAGGCTTCGTGACCTTGTGTATGATCTGGAATAAGATCTACTCCTGGAAGATCTGCTTCTTGACCTTGGTGAACTTTCTGAACTTCTATCACTGTACTTTGAATAAGCGCTCCGATCACTCTCTGAATTTTTTTCTCTTTTATGGTAGGATGATGAACTCCCAGTCTCTTTAATATTTGCTAAACTGTAAGTGCTTTGGATGGGCAGCAAGTGGGTTGTTTTAGCTTTCATTTCCTGGATTCGCTCATAAGAAGGCTTCCAGGGCTTCTGTCCAGGCTTCCACCTTGAAGGAGGGGGACTGTCACTCAGTGGTATTACAGGAATATTTTCGGCAACCACCGGTTGTACTACAACACTTTCATTTTGCGTCACTGTTGCTCTTAAAGGCTCTGATTTAACAGGTTTATTTTCACTTAACTGAGAGGCTGTTCTTCTTGGTGATTTTGATGCTGTTCTTTGGCGCCCTGACTTGGAACTAGATCTGGACTTTGATCTACTTCGAGAATGTGATGAGGATTTTGATGGAGTCCTTGATCTTGAGCTTCCTCTAGAATAGGACTGTGAGTGAGATTTTGATCTGTATGAGTCTCTGCTGGAATGGGTTGAAGAGCTCTGGTCATCCTTATCAGATTTAGACCAGTCCCTCTTGGATGAGTGATGAGATGACAATGAGGAAGAACGAGATCTCCTTTCTCTACCACACGAGGATTTCACTCGTCGGGTGGAAGACTTTGAGGATTCTATATCAGATGGTACAATAAGCCTTCTTTTCTTAGTCTGTTTGTGCCTTCTGCAATGTTTCTGCTTTTTGGCTTTCTTTTTGTGCTTAACCTTTTTCTCTTTTCTGCGTTTTTTATGGTGGCCATCAGAGTGTCTTGCTGTACTAAGATCTGAATAATATCCATTATAGGACCATGATCGGGATCTCTGGGACAAGCTTCTTTCATCCCATCGGCTTGAACAGGGATCACTTAACCTATGGAAAGTATATAATATGCATGCAGTTATTTACAAGCATGTTTTCTATGCTTTAAAATCAAAACACATTTGTTGTCAAATACAAACTCACTGACAGAAGCCTATTTAACAACAAAGTACTGATTCCATCAACACTTCAAGTGCATGGAGGAACGATAAGCCAAAGAGTGATAGATAGACATGGTCTCGACCTTTTAATTTCAAAGAGACACTGACAACTACTAACAGGTTCACTAACAAAAGGATTTTTTTTTCCCAAAGCCAAGTCAAGAATTTCAAATTTGATAGGAAAATAATATTGAAAACCAAATCAGCTAATCACAAGAGCACTGCTGGTTATGATCTGTTCGTAACACTCTGCCTCCAGGAGTAATTTCTGAGGGAGAGTCAAATCAATTTCCCAAACTATTCTGTTGATTCTCTGCAGATACAGGATAGCTGCCTGAACTTTAAGAGAAGCCTCTTTTTCTTAAGCTGACATTGTTTCGTCTCAGCCTCACAGAGGTAATTAAAGACTTTCCCCTAAGGTTTTAGTGAAACTACTTACTACAGAAATTGGGAGAAAAGTACATGAAAACAGATGCAGGCTTTACAATCTCAGTGGTAACATCAGGCTCAAAACAGTTCTCAGTGTCTAAACCACTTCCACACAGCAGACACACACTTCTTCCTCCCTCTTCTAATTTTGAACCATTCTGCTGGATGCCCACAGAGAAAAAGATAATTCCACCATGAATACAGGGAACCACTGGTTTATTTTTCACTAGCTATTCTGGGGCCAGCCCTAAATAGATTTCCACTGCGGGGTGTCACTGAGGACAAGAGATGGTACATTTCTGAAGAAGCAATAGTCCCTGGGGTCAGAAGTTAACATACACACTGGGTACAGATTTTCCTCTCTACCCACCTACTCATCAGTGACTAAGAGAACTGGCTAGGAAAGAATCTGCTATATAATTTGTATTAAGTCCTAATTATTTCTAAAACTGAACAAGAAATCTTTAAGAAATTCAGTAGGGCTATAGTATTGTGAGGGGAAACAGGGATTCTGATCTGAAAGCACCCAAAGGCAATCAGTCCTCCTCCCACGTCACCAAGCATTCTTGGATGCACTCTCCGGTTGAAGTCTAATTTGAAACGTACATCTGTAGTGAGAAGTCCAGAAGTAACATCTCTACCCCCTTAATACTTAAAACACAGCAGACGCAGGACTGTGCTTATGCTTACTTATCTCCTTTACTCCATTTTTCTCCACTAGGTGGTCTGTATGCTCTCAGTCTCTGCATTTCTTCTTTCCAGTGAGGAGGAGTTTCACTGCTGTCATCATCATCTGATTCAGAACAGGATCTTGATCTTGGAGGTGTGTGATAGCGCTTTAAAAACAAAGTTAGGAGTTTAACTATTTTTAACATATCTCTCAATGACAGTCTGCTACAGGACAGAGGTAGGTATAAGACCCAACCTCAGACACCATTCAAAGGCAATAATGACTGAAGCACCTATGGATGGTATGAAGTTATGCCAAACTAAAAGGAATGAGAAAAGCAGAGATTCACCAGTAACCACACATAAAATTTCCTCTCTGAAGTTCTAATGGTTATATTTATTAGCCTAGATTATTCAACATACTAAGGTTTCTCAAAATGCTGTTTCACACATTCATTTCATACTTCAACCCATTCAAACACAGCAGTAAACACTGATCTAACAGCAGTGCCTTCTCATGACTACAGAGAATACAACTAGCTCCTTGAACAGCATATGGACTATACCTTAGCTACGATTTTTGCCTTTAAAAAAACATTTTACTGCTTAGCTAAGTAATTTGAAGAAAGAAAAGTCTTAACACACATACAATTGTACCCCTTCCTTTAATCTTCCGTCCAGACTTTGATACAGATGGTTTCTGATCACTTACAATGGGTGTCACATCAGGAATCTTCCTGGAAAAGAAGACAGAAAATTAAAAAAGGCAAATGCTAGGTAGTTTTCTCAAGTGTTTAAATGCTGAATTTATGCTCCTATAACAAAAAAAACCCCACTTCATTTAGACCCAACACTTTTGTAGAATGAGGCACTCCACATAACCTAATTTTTAAGCAAATTCTTTAAATGCCAAAACTTAAAAAGAAAAAAAAAATAACCTGACAAGATACTGGTACCTATCTTTTAAAGCACAGTAGTACTTTTAAACAAAATCCTTTTTTAGATGTCTCTTGTCAAAACAGTGACATTCTAAGGGAATCCTAAGGTATTGTTGACTCAAATGCTCGTGTGTTTTTAATAGTTGTAAATTTCATTTTATATTTTTAGTAGTTCATTTGTCTACCGCACTCTACTATAAGTTGCCCCACCTTCAATGCTCTGAATCTGCTGCTTTATCTTATTGGTAATTCTAAGAGTACAGTTTTTGTGGCAGCTACAGGCCTTCATGTATGAGAAGTCTTTCCATACTTCAGTTTGTTTTGTATCTGGTATTATTAATGTAATTACTAGTTTTTATTGAGGACTTATTATGTGTCAGGTATATATACAAAAGCATTTTAAATATACTTTTTTATTGGGTAAAATTAACACAACATAACAACGTAACATGACACTGGCCATTTTAACCATTTAAAAATGTACAATTCAGTGGCATTAATCATATTCGCAATGTTGTACAACCATCACTACTATCTTTCTAAAACTTTTTTATTATCCCAAACCAAAACTCGACCCATTAAGCAATACCTCTCTGTTGCCCTCATTCCCTTAGCCTCTGGTAACCTCTAATTTATGACCAAATAAGTGTCTACTATATGCGTATCCCACATTTTGTTTATCCATTCATTTGTTGGTGGACACTTGGGTTGTTTCCCCCTTTTTGTGACTGTGAATAATGCTGCAATGAACCCTGGTGTACAAATATGTGTTTGAATCTCTATTTTCAATTCTTTTGGATTATACCTAAGAGTAGAATTGCTGGGTTACATGGTAAATCCATGTTGAACTTTCTCAGGAACCACGAAACTGCTTTCCACAGCAGCTGCATCGTTTTAGCCCCCTACCAGCACTGTATGAGGGTTCTAATTTCTCATGTCCTCGCCAACACTAGTTTTAGTGGGTTTTGTTTTAAATTATAGCCATCCTAGGAGGTGAGACATAGTTTCGCACTGTGGGTTTGGTTGCATTTCCCTGATGACTAACAACATTGAGCATCTTTTCACGTGCTTGTTGCCCATTTGTACACCGTCTTTGGAGAAATGTCTATTCAAGCGCTTTGCCCATTTTTAAATTGAGTTGTCCTTTTGTTATTGTTATTGCTTGTGCTTTGGGTGTCAAATGTAAGAGTCTATTGCTGAACCCAAGGTCAAGAAGGTCAAGAAGACTTACCCTTATGTTTTCCTTCTAAGAGTTTTATGGTTTTGGCTCTTATATTTATGTCACTGACCCATATTGAGTTAATTTTTGCATATAATGTGAGGCAGGGTCCAACCTCATTCTTTTGCATGTGGAAATCTACTTGTCCCAGCATCATTTACTGAAGAGACTATTCTTCCTGCAGTGAATGGACTTTGCACCATTGTCTAAAATCAAATGGCCACAGATGTATGGGTTTATTTCTGGACTCTCAATTCTATTCCATTGTGGTCTACATGTGTATCCTTATGCCAATACCACACTATTTTGATGACTCTAGCTTTGTAGTAAAATTGAAATCAGGACGTAAGAGTCCTCCAACTTTGTTCTTCTTTCTCAAGATTGTTTTGGGTCTTTGGGACCCCTTGCAATTACATATGAATTTGGACAAAAAGGAATGAATGAATGAATTTCTGCAGAAAGGTTACTGGAAGTTGATAGGGATTGCAGTGAGTCCACAGCTCACTTTGAGTGGTACTGACATCTTCACAATATTAAGTCTTCCAATCCATGAACACAGAATATCTTTCCATTTATTTGTGTCTTCTTTAATTTCTTTCAGCAGTATTTTGTAGCTTTCATTATACAAGTCTTTTACCACATTGATTACATTTATTCCTAAGTATTTTATTCCTTTAGGTGTTATTTTTATGGGATTACTTTCTTAATTTCCTTTTCAGATTGTTCATTGTTGGTTGTTAATAAGCATTTTAAAGGCATTAGCTCATTTAATTCCCATAAGACTGAGGTAGGTACTGCTATTATTTCCATTTCAAAGATAAAGAATTTTAAGATTAAGAGGTTAAAAATGTTGCCTAAGGTCACAGAAAGAAATGAAACTTGACTCTTATAACCATTATATAGGGTTTTCTAAGGTTCCAGGAATTTGGCTCCAGATAAATGTATAATATTACTGTAAGAAAACATTAACTAAAAAGTATATTAGTTTTGTCAGTCATTTCTTACTCATGACATCACTTGATTCTCACAATGAGAGAAGTAGGTACTCTTGGTAAGCAATTGTTAACCCCGTTTTCCTCATGAAGAACAAAGCACTGAACCAAATGACTTGCCTACACCTTCTCCCTCACAACATTGATTTACTTTGCTGTATGGCCCAGAAACTGGTATTTTTAAAAGCCTGCCAAATTATTCTGAAGTGTAGCTGAGGATGAGAACAAATAAACTAGAGCAAGTATGGAACTCAGCTTCTGCTAAGCAAATTATAAGTGATAATGAGTTTAACTGCTGGTAAATCTGTAAGGTGGCAAGCTCACTCTGGCTGACAGTCCCTGTTTCTTATCCTTGTATACCTTGTGTTCTTAGCACAGTTAATTCTAGCTCCCACACAACTGATCAAATCTCAACCATCCTAACGTAACAGATCGATATGCTCTTTTGCATGACACAATTATAATTTAAAACAATTCTGTAGAAAATAACTTCCAAAGATGTTATGTAACCAAAGAAGAATGACGATCAAATAAACCTACCAGCAATATCCAATCACGAATACAAGACAGTGGTTATAAACTACATTAAAAGTACCAGATAGCAGGGGTTGGCAAACTTTTTCTTAAGAAAAGAAAGAGTCTAAGGTTAAGTATTTAGGATTTTTAGGCCAAGAAGAAAATTAAGGTTATTATGTAGATACTTATATGAGAAAAAAAACCAAATTTTCACAATATTTTATCCATGAAATTCAGAATATAATAACTGAGTATCATTTTTTGTAATAAAGATCTACTAATGAGAGGAATGGAATTCTTTTTTTAGGGAGGATAACATTTCACTTCACTTAATTAGGGTTCAGTGTTCCCTATCAAAATAGATAATGTTAATACTGTTCATCTGGTATTGCTGATCTGTAATAAGATTTTTACATACTTTGTTTCTGAAAATATCTTTTAACATGGATAGATTCTATGTGTAGTACATGAAATACTCGAGTTGTAACTGTATCGCTGTGATGTGCACAGAGTAACAGTATAAAGCAGCGAGAGCGCCACATACGAGCTCTTTGCGACTACTCGATTCTGCTGCTGTAGCACAGAAACAGCCCACGAAAACAGTGAACAAATGGATGTGGCTGTGTTCCAGTAAAACTTTATTTACGGACACTGAAATCTGAATTTCATAATTTTCACATGTCACAAAATATTCTTCTTTTGATTTTTTTCCATAAACATTCAAAACATAAAACCACATTTAGCTCAAGGGCTATACAAAGCCAGGCAATAGGCCGAATTTAGCTCATGGATGGCCACCATTTGCTGACCCCCACTGGATGACACTGAAATTGGCCTTTCAAGTTTCCTACCTTCTGAAAACCAAATGGATTTGATCAATGAATGGTGTCTTGTATTTTAAGAAAGGATCCTACTAAAATTTGCTCACAAGCCAGGATTTTAAAAAATGAAAGCAACTGTACGTTAAAGCATTGTTTAAAGATACATCCCATTATGCCATAACAGCTCTTTAAAAAGAGACAATACATACCCAGAAGGAAATCTACTTCAGGATGACACCTGCACCCCAATGTTCATAGCAGCACTATTTACAATAGCCAAAACATGGAAACAGCCTAAATGTCCATCAACA